TAACTCAGACCTTCGTGGTGCTGGGACCAGGCCGCCTTCCACAGACACCTGCTGGCTCCGCCCCTCGGTCAGTGCCAGGGCAATGCAGCCCTTCTCACAGAAACCCTTTGCTCCCCTGGTCCCAGGGCCCAAGTGGCCTGGCCCACGTGCTCCGAGCTACTTACCTCCCATGGTCTTGATGGAAATGAGCACAGCAAGAAAAGACCGTGCTAATCTCTAGGGAGTGGGCAGCCCTGAGAGCTGGGTGTCCCTAACACATCCGGTCTGTTCTGAAAGATGGCGGCTGTCACTTCAGCAGCCCCTCCTACCACCCGGCTCTGGGCCAGCCTCTCTGGCCCTCTCTGACCTCAGTCCTCAGGGCAGCACCTCGGTGATACAGCAACAGATGACGTCATCCAAGAATCCCTCCGGCTGCTGATGCAGCTGCCCTGTCATGTTTCGATGACCTGGTTTTCCCGATTCTGTGTCTGACCCCGCCCCATCCTCTCTGGGAGAAATTCACCAGAGTCACTACCAAGGGGGCATCGCCTAAACCCGGGCTCGCAGAGGAGGGTCCTCTTTGGCCCCCTTTCGTTAGACCAAGGGTACTGCCGATGCAAGCCAGCCCTCACCCCTGGGACCACCAGCCGAGGAGCACTTGGCTTTTAACCCTCAGCATAGAAGAATTCCGGGTTTCAGTTTAAGAGTCCTCGCACCACCAGCGTCAGCTTCCCAGACTGGCCGTCTTTCTGCGCAGGATCAAAAACAAATGTGCATTTTTGTCAGCGGGGGAGGGGTGAGCCATAGAAAATTCCCATCTTAGAGTTTCTGCCCCAGAAACTTAACAAGAGAGCCGTGTCTTTGAAATGACATATGGTGTGTGTGTGTGTGTGTGTGTGTGTGTGTGTGTGTGTGTCCCCGCCGGAAGGATATGATTTAGTTTGGATTTTTTTTTTAACTTAAAAAAAGTGCCCGCAATGAAAACAATGTGTGGGAGGATCTCATTCCACATGTCACTCACTCCTTATGTGTATCTTCACATTACTTGGGTGCCGCCAACGGTCTCCGGACCAACTGATTTCTCCCCAGGGTCCAAAGTGGAATTTCCCCTCCTGCAGCCTCGGCTCTGAACAAAGCCTTCACTCGTGAATGAGGGGTGCGTGGGGATTGTCCATGCTGGTCTGAAAGGGCCCTGCGACCTCAGGTGGGCTGGCTCGGCCATCGTCCCTTGGGTTGCCTGGGCCCAGAGACAGCTGGTAGGGACAGTGGTCCTACCCTTGGGCTTAGGCGACTGGACCCGGGGCTGGTGGGCTGAGTGCATCTAGAAGACTCACTGGTCCCTAGTACTGAGCTGTATGGATAGGGCCACAGCGATGAAAGAGTGTCTGTACCACAAGCTCCATCTGTGTCCTGCTCAGGGACCCCTCCCGAAGCCTCAGTGTGTCACTGGTTGGGACAAGCATGGCTTTTTCTCCGGGGTCACAAACAGCAGGATTGTCCCGGGAGGAAGGAACTTAAGCCCATCTAATTCCCACTGCACAAATGGGTGCTGTAATGCCCAAAGGGGAGACACGATGGCCCTGAAGTCCCATGGCCTGGTCTGCAGCCTGATTTAAGAGAAAGCCACCTCCCCTCGTAACCCCACAGCCTGCACCCCAGCCATCCGGCAGGAAGGAGGGAGCAGCCCCAGCAGCGGCAGGATTCTGTGTCTAATGCCTCTTCCCAGAAGCCCCAGGCTCCTCCTTCCCCATCACACACTCGCGTGCGCGCGTGCACACACACACACACACATACTCATTCTCACACACACACATGCACGGCAGCTGGCTTCAGCCTTGGCACGACCTCCATTTCACGCTCACCTGGTAAATTACCATGAGCACTTCATTCCTGCAGGTTTTATAGCTCTTTAGACCTGGGTGAAGTTGCCTGAACCCTGAGCGGAACGCAAGGGAAGGTCTGGGCTCTGAGAGCATCAGGGGACCCCCTTCCGCTTCTGCAGGTGGCAAGATGAGGGACGAAAGGAGCACACCTGGGTGCTGGGGGAACCGCCAGTGGGAGCCCTGGGGAGACTGGGGTGCATGCAGTCTGGGATGCAGGGAAGACCCAGGAATTGATCTCTGCAGAGTGCTGAGAGCAGGGCCCAGGGCTGCATGAGCGTTTGTTAAATATAATACGTACTCGAGGTGGAACCGGAAGAAACCCAGGAACTCCCCCCCACCCCCCACCCAGGGACGGCCTCCAAGCAATCATTGTGTCTGACCAGACAGAGGGAAAAGCCCTCGACCAGCCGTCCAGCTGCCTTGGATTCTCTCCCAGGGTCTGTTGTTTTTCATCTCTGGGACATTGAGCTGAAATCACCCCTCGCCTCCATTCCCACGTCTGTGAAATGGACATAGTAACCTATCCTGGCTGCCTCCGCGGGGCTTTGAGGTCTGCAGGGACACATTCAGAAACACAGGAGCCAAGTGTTTTTATTTTATTAACCATACCGTAAGCCGGTCTGCCTGGCCACATCTCAGAAAAAGAAACTTACAAAAACCCAAAGGCCCTTTCCTGAACATCTGGGGATGTGAACACAGCCTCCGTGCCCCTGGGGGTGCAGAGCAGGCCTGCTCCTCTCCCAGTCTGTAAGCAGGCCAACCGTGACCCCTCCCCTCTCCCCGGGTTTGCAGGCAGCTCTGGGCAACTTGTCCGGTGCTGCACAGCTAGGAAGATGGTGGTGTGTCCATGGTGGATCAGGGACCGTGGGGCTCCAAGTGTTAGTGATAATTGTCATGGGCAGTAGTTAGTAACATTTACAGAGTGTCTCTTGTACGCACAGCACGGGGTTAAGCACGACCCCTGCAGGAACCTTTTATTTTCATAGCAACCATAAAGGTGGCTCTTGTCACCCATTTTCAGATGAGCACATGGTGACTCAGGGAAGGACAGAGGCTGGTGAGCAGCAGGTTTGCACTCTGGGTCTCTGACTCCCAGGGCTGTCTGGGCACCTGTTACTGCCACCAGTGTCACCCAGGGTCCAGCCTCACGTCTCAGGGGACACGGACTGGCCTAAGGGGACAGGATGATCATTCCAGCAGTCTCCAGCTCCAGAAATGAGGGCCCGGCCCAGAGGGATGGGACAACAGGGCTGGTGTCTTGTCTGATGGCCATGTCCCCTTCGAGGCCAAAATTTGTGGATTTAATCAGGGAGAGAAGATTCACTTTCTTTGTTCCCAGTCCCCACGAAAGGTGCCAGGACTGTGGAATGAGGAGGATAAATTTGATTATGTAAAAATTAAGGTTACAATTTCAGGAGAGAAGTTTTCTTGTAAGAATTCATGGTGTTTGTGGGGTGCCTGGCTGGCTTAGTCAGTGGAGCGTGCAACTCTAAATCTCCTGGTTGTGAGTTCAAGACCCATGTCGGGCATAGAGATTACTTTAAAATAAAATTTTTAAAAAAAAGATCTTTAGAAAAAAAGAATTCATAGTGTTCAACCCAAGCGTCCATCGATGAATGAATGATAACCATATGGGGTACATCCATGAAATGGAATATTATTCAGCCCTGAAAAAGGAAATCCTGCCACCTGCTATGCCAGGTGAACCTTGAAGACATTGTGCTAAGTGATGTGAGCCAGACAGAAGAGGACAAATACCATAGGCCTCCACTCATATGAGGTATGCGAGCAGTCAGATCATAGAGACAGAAAGGAGGAGATGATTGCCAGGGGCTCGTGGGGAGGAAGAATGGGGAGTTTTAATGGGAACAGAGTCTCAGCTGGGAAGATGGGAAAGTACTGGAAATGGCTGGTGGTCGTCCAGCAGTCTGAATCCATGAACTGTGTACACTTACAAATGATTCCGAGGGTAAATATTATGTTACATATGTTTCACCACAATGAAAAAGGAATTCATAGTGCTTATAGCACAGTACCAGAGTGTTTGTGTTTTTTTAAAAAAATTTTTTATGTCTTAATTTATTTCTGAGAGAGAGAGAGCGTGAGCAGGGGAGGGTCAGAGACAGAGGGAGACACAGAATCTGAAGCAGGTTCCAGGCTCTGAGCTAACTGTCAGCACAGAGCCCGATGCGGGGCCCGAACCCACGAACCACAAGATCATGACCTGAGCCGAAGTCGGATGCTTAACCGACTGAGCCACCCAGGTGCCCTTACCCTGTCCCCATTTCTTGCAAAGATTCAGCGATTCAGACTCCACACTCCCACTGGCCCGTGGCCTTCAGCCTGAGTAAGAGTTGCCTGAGAAATCACCCCTTCTTAGCCCTTTTCCCAGTCTACCTACTTTTTAAAGAGGCTTGTTTTCCTAAAGCCTGTAATTACGTTTGCCTCCAGGGTACCCAGGAATTTTTTTTTAAGTAAGCAAAGAGCATCCTACAATTATCGTGATGATTTGCTGAGGGCAGGCCAAGTGCAGACACAGCCCTGGAAGCGATGTGCACGTGTTGGTGTTTGCATCTTGGAGGGACCCGGCGGCTCGCGCAGGGTCACTCGTTAATACGGAGACACCCACCCAGGTGTCCACCGTTGGCCGCCAGCCGGACGCGGTCGGTGGGATTGCGCCTTCCTGGAGGCTGGCCGCAGCCGGGAGAGGGCCCCGGCCTCACAGATGGTTCTAGGTAAATATTTCCAGGCAGGGTGACTGCGGCAGCCGGATGCCGTGACCGGGGGGCTGCTGGAGCCACACGCAGCCGAGGCCGAGATGGGCAGCAGCCCGTCGGCTCTGTCAGCCCTGATTTGCGGCTGAGCCTGTAATCTCCCCGAGTTCAAAGAGCGCTTAGCTGCTTGTCTTTGTCAAGAGCGCGGTTGGGGATCTTTTATGTGAAAGATGTAGGATTCTCGGGCTGACTTTGATTATTTATTCATCCCCCTCCGTGGGTGTGTGATAGCCAGGGCACCACGGAGCCCCCTGTCCTGGCTACTCTCGCTCTGAAATTCATTGAGCTTTAAAGCCCTTTGAAAATTGCTTTTTGAGGGAGGGGAAAAGTTTTTGAAGGCCTGTTTCTCTCTCCCGCTCCACAGTGCCACAGCACCTTTTGCCACCGTTCCATGCTCCCTTACCGATTGATATGAGACACCAGGAGGGAAGGTACCATTATGAGCCCCACTCTGTCCACGGCGTGCATGGGTAAGTTCTGCCCTCGACCCTCCACCCCGGCACGGGGTCACCTGTCACCTGGGAGGCCAGCAGCCTCAGCCACCTGTCATGCCTCTGTCTGTCTTTCTGGAGTTCCTGATCTGCACTGTCCTGAGCTGATGGTCACCTCTGCCACCCGGGAGTGCACTGACCCGGGATCCTGTGCAAATGTGTAAGTGGGGTATAGGCACCCGGCTCCCTCTGGTTCCCTGAGGAGGAAGCCCCTCTAGCCTCACATGTCCCCACGTCCATGGCTGCAGGCCGGCCTGGTGTACCCATAGCACCTTGAGGCTCTGTGTCTGCCCAGGCAGTGGGAATCCCTCCAGACCAGAGGTCCTCCGTAAGTACTGTGACCTTAGTTATATGTTGTCATAGGATAATAATTCATAGCACCCCTTTTTACATGTCCCAGTTTAGAATATTATCGAGTCACCCTGACGATAAGCCCAGGCTCCATGTTATACTTTGGGGTCTTTTCCTACTCCCTGCCCGGAGAGCCCCGGTAGAAGGGGCAGGACCCAGTGCCATCCCACTAAACCTAATCCTGTCCCTCTTTATTCCCACCTGAGCCTCGAAGCCTAGAGCTAAAGTCACTCTTCTTGATCTTTGTGACCAAAGACGCTGCCCCATCCATTCTGCCTTCAGAGGAGAGGCTGGAACCTCGCCCTCCCTGTGCCCCCCCCCCCAATTCTCTGCTGCTCCTCACACCTGACTTGGAGGGAGCCTGCTGCAAAGGGTCAAGTGCCCCCAGGGCCCCTCCAGACCCAGCCACCTCACCCACCCATGCCAAGTCGCTGTTTATGGCTCTGGGACACACGGCCATGTGTCCACGGGTCCCCAGGCCTCCGTTCCGGCTGCCCACCTGCCTGGAGTGTGCCCCTCCTCCTGGGGCACCAGGATCCCCAGCCTGAGCGGGGGCCCTCCTTTTACTTTGCAGTAATTTCAGGCAGGTGAAAACAGTTGCAAAAATAGTACAAAGATTCCCATTATCCCCTCTGCGGGGTTCCTCCACCCGTTCACATCGTACGTGACCAGAGGCTAACATGCTGTCCTTAAGTAATTCGTCAAACTTATCCACGTTTCCTCAGTTGCCCCACTAATTTCTTTCGGTTTTGTTTTGTTTTGTTTTATTTTGTTTTTTCCTGTTCAGGATCTAGTCTTTGCATTTAGGAGTCAAGCCTCCTTTAATCCAGGATAGTGGCTCAGTTTCTCTTGTCTGTCATGACCTTGACCCTCTTGAAGAGGATGGGCCAGTACAAAATGTGCAGATGTCCTCGATTTGGGACACTTGCCTGAAGTCACCTCATGATTAAATTCAGAACCAGGGGCGCCTGGGTGGCTTAATCGGTGAAGTGTCCGACTCTTGGTTTCGCCTCAGGTCACAATCTCATGGTTCCGTGAGTTCGAGCCGGGTGTCAGGCTCTGTGCTGACATCGTAGAGCCTGCTTGCGATTCTCTCTCTCTCCCTCTCTCTCTCTCTGCCCCTCCCGAGCTCATGCTGTCTCTGTCTCTCTCAAAAATAAGTAAATACACTCTAGAAACATTTCAGAATAAGCATTTTAGGGCATAATATAAAAGCGGCTCTGTTCCCTTCCTCTATTGTGTCAGGAGGCACGTGAAGGCAATACTTCTCGTCACTGGAGGTGTTTGTTTTTCTCATCACTGGAGATCACTTAGTTAAGGTGAGGTCTGCTGTAAAGTCGGTCCCTTTGTAAGTAGTAAGTATCTGGGGCGGTGATACTTCGATAATATGTAAATATCCTATGTCTCACCAGATCTTCAGCCACTAACTTTAACATCCATCGGCAATTCTTGACGGAAACAGTAATTACTAGTGTTTGCCAAATGGTGATTTTCCGTTTCCATCCTTCCTTCCACACTTGTTGCCTGGAATTCTCCTGTAAGGAATAGTCCCTTCTCCCCCACTTCTTCCTTTCTTTGATGATTTATTTCTTCCAAGCAAATGCCTGGATAGTTGGGTTACTCTGAGTTATACTATGTTGTTGCTATATTTGTGTGGCTGCAGTGGCCCCAGATCTGGGCTCTGGGAGTCCCCTCAATTGTCTCCCGGGTCTTTCAAATATCGGAAACTTCTTACTTCATGTCAGTGCGTGTCAACAGTTCTTTCTTGAGAACCGGTCCACCTGGTAGGTGACGGGCCCTCGCAGCCCTCTGCCCACCTCCCGGCCCCTCCAGCTGCAGGGGCTGAGGCCACAGCCAGCTTATGGGGGGTGCATACATTTGGAGCTAGTGAATTACCCGAAAATTGCCCAGTTGGTAGCATCTGAGAATCAAAGGAGAATCCAGGAAGCTGAGTCCCTATTTGGGAGGAGGCTGGAGGTGCTGACTTTCTGCTCTTGAGAAATGTGGGGTCATTCAGTGACACAGATCCTGGAGACACAGGCCCGCAGGTAAGTGTCCCCTGCAAGGGGCCCAGCGCCAGTCAGAGACGCAGGCAGCACAGTCACAAAGCCCAGTGAGGTGACTGTCTGGCTCACGTGTCCCCACATACCTAGTGACTGCAGCAGAGCTACTATAAGGCCCCACCTTTGACGACTGCTACTTCTCATAATAATTTCGACCTCCTCGACTGGCTGGGTTATACACAGGTCACGTCCTCATCTCCCTTCATCCTGTCAACACCCCTGCAAAACAGGCATTTCACATCATCCCATTTTACAGAAGAAACTGAGGCAGCACAGAGAGGTGAAATAACTAACCACCGGGGTTGCCTGCTTAGGGAGTGGGAGGGTTAGACATCTAATCACAACCTCCTGAGCCCAGGCCCTCAGCTGCACGCTGGCCTCTCTCCTGGGGACACATAAATAAGCACTGGTCCCCCTGACAGGCCCAAATGATTCCTTCCTAAAAGCACATAGCACCCTTTGCTAGGGCACCAGCCCCTAGGTCAGCAGTCCCCCAAACCTCTGGACCACCAGCATCAGCGTCCTGGGTTAGGAATGAAGGTTCTCGGGCCCTAGGCCAGACCACTGAATCAGAGACAGGCGGGGCTCATGTTTGGCGTTTAACAGGCCTCCCAGCCATGCTGCTGTAGGCAAGGCCCGTCACCGGATGAGGGAGCCCTCAGTGCCGGTCCCCTGGGGCTGATGGAGAACTAGGAGACACCCCCGAGCCTTCTCCAGGCTTTGTCCTGCACCAGGAGAAGCAGAAGGCCTTAATGGCAGGCAGCTGGGGCGGTCTGGCCAGGCCAGTGGGCCTGTGCAAATGGCCTTGTCACTCACAGGCCCAGGTGCCTCTTTGCCTAGACTTGATACCTGACGGGTGGTGCAATAGTCTCCTGTCGCTGCTGTAACAGATGACGCAGTGGCGTAACACAGTTCAGACTTACTCTCACATAGTCCTGGAGGCCAGGAGTCTGCCGTAGATCAGGGTATCGGCAGGGATGGTTCCTTCTGGACACTCCAGCAGAGAGTCTCTCCTCTTGACCTTGGTAGTTTCTGGAGGCTACCCGTGAACCTCAGCCCTTGACCCCTGCCACATGGCCTTTTCTCCCCTGTCTGTCCGCACATCCCTCGTCTCTGCCTCTCTTATAAAGACACCTGTGGTGGCTTTTAGGGCCCACTTGGATAATCCAAAATAATCTCCCTGTCTCAGGACCCTCAATTCCATCCCATCTGCAAAGTCCATTTCCCCCCTAGAAGGTTACAGTCACACGTTCCAGGGACTGAGGGGTGAAGGTCTCTGGGGCTTATTCGGAATCCCCAAGCCCTAGTGCCCATCATGGCAACACCCGGTGATAAGGGGTGTCGGCAACGTGTGCGGGGCTTCCGGGGTGGGGGTGGGGGGCAGGGAGGCTGGTGTGCTGTGTGAGTGTCACCTTCCCCACTGCCGTACCAGACGCCGGTGCTGAGCTTCAGAGAGGGGCATCGATTCGTGAGATCCGCGCTGTAAGGTGGCCATGCGGTGCCCCCCTCCCCAGCTGGGGGTTGGGGGGGAGGCTCTCCTGGTTAACACCTAAGTGATAAGCAAAAGCAAGGTGGTCCCGGAGCCCCACGCCCTTCCGGGATTGGCTTCCAAGGCATCCACCCTGTCCCCACCCTGCCCAGGGGCTGGGAGGCTGGCCTGAGGTCCCCCCAGAAAGCCCACCCCTTCCCTCTCCCCCACCGGTGCCTCAGGTGGGAAACAGGACGAAGCCTACAGGAGAAAAAAAAAAACTGGCCCGGTGGCTCCGGCTTCTGTGATTGATGCGGTCGGAGCCCGGCGGAGCGCCCGATCCATCAAGCCCCTGCTGTAGCCCACGCCTCCTCCGTGGCGCCAAATGTGTCTAATTACACACACGTTGCGCAGCAAATGAGATGCGGTGTCATCTCCCGTCAGCGGGAGGGGGGGACCTCCGCCTGCCGCTCCGCTCCAGGGCCCCTAACCATTGGCTCTCCCGGTCCGCAGAGCCAGGCGATTGGGTGCCTTGCCTGCCTGGCTCCAGACACAGGGCTCCAGGGCACGTGCGCCCCTCCTCTTCCCACTGGGCCGCTGGACAGCTCCTGCCCGCCTACCTGGCCTTGAACCCCAGGGCTGAACTCACTAGCCTTGGGAGAGCTTACCAACCTGAATGAGTTAGCCTAAGTTTCTCCTTCTGTAATAGGACGTAATAATAGCACCGACCCCATCTACGGAGTTGTTTTAAGAATTAATGGGGCCGTAGGAGCAGCTAGCTAGGGGGTAGAGAGGAGAAGTGAGGGAACCTGGCAAAGGGACCTGCCCAGGCTCCTGAGCTGGCATCGTGTCCCAGGCGGATGAGCAGGGTCCAGGTCCTCCACTCCCCCAGGCAGCTACAGGGGGAAGAGTGGGGTACAGGGTTCAGCCTGTGGAAACCCGGCCAGCACAGCCCAGCTGGATGGCTTCCTTCCAGACACCTGCACCCCACCCTGACACAGCTAGTCCCAGTTCCCTGGAGGTCCAAACCCACAGTGAGACTTGCACAGCTCACGATGCTCAGGGGGTTCTAGAAGAGTACCTGGCACTGTCCGTGG